CTATCATCGAAGATTCGGGGTTACAGCTCCGTGATTGGTATCGCCTGCTTCCATGTGCAGTGTGGGCTTATAACAATGTTCCGAGTGATGTGAATTGTCCCGTTGCCCCTGCTGATCTCTTTTTCCATCACGGTGCTACTGCTCCTACCTCGCTACAACCACGTCGATTGTCGGAACAAGCTACTAAGTGGTCTAATGTTCTTCAAGGATTTCCAGCAGCTCTTCAGAGTGATGTTGTTCGGTCTATGGTTAAGAATATGCAACGAGTCTATGCATCTACTTTCGATATTTATACTATCCACAACTACGTTCTCAGGAATAAGAGCGAGGCGTCACTGGCACGCCAGCCCGGACGTCGAGTTCCCGAGTTGCGCGTGGGACAACACGTGATGCTCGTGCGTCACCAGAGGCGTAAGTTAGATCCTATGATGACTGGTCCTTTCCGAGTATGCGGTGTTGTTACCAAGTATTTGGTCGAACTCGAGGACAGAGACCAGAAGAAGCTGGGACGCCATTTCGTCGGCAATTTACGACTACTACCAGATGAGGCGAGTATTCCTCTAGCCACAGCGACTAGCACGGATTGGCAGTGAAGATGAGTGGGTTGAGCTTGCGACGGCTGCAGTATGCTTCTTTGAGGTGAGGTGCTGAGATTAGACTAGTATTGAGCTTCGATAGAATTGTTAATTGTCTCAACATCGTCAGGTGTTGAATTCTTTCTGTTATTATCCGTCTGTTGTTCAGTAGAATCCCAAATCGTGCGGTAAAGTCTATGTCAGCGATCAGCTCCAATTCTGGCCCTGGCCGGAGTGTTGCTGTACGCGGATTAGGTATGGTACCAACTTGTTTCCTTGTGATTCTTCAGCATTTTCTATTAGCTGTAGCACGCAAGTACAATATAGATTGGTGTGTTGCTGTACGCGGATTAGGTATGGTACCAACTTGTTTCCTTGTGATTCTTCAGCATTTTCTATTAGCTGTAGCACGCAAGTACAATATAGATTGGTGTATCAACCTTTGATTCTCTTTGTTATCTCCACTACCGCAAGCACCATCACTAACTGTTGGGTTGACTATGAAAGGGACCAGAAGCAACACCTCGTAGGTACCTCATGTTGCCCTCAGCGAGTGATATTATCACTCGCTGAGGGCAACATAAAGTACGGTATTTGAAACAGGTTAATAATATAACTTATATCCAGCCAGATTGGATCATGCATTAAAGTTGTTGTGGATCAACAGCTTGAGTCACTCAGCTTGAGTGTTATCATGTATTACATGAGTTCAACGTTATGGAGTTGTAGGGCCTCGGGAACCGCTACCTAAGAACTTGCCATGTAGGCTGTACAGCGTACACTGTCCGCACACTGTTGAGAGACATCCTGACATACAGCCAGAATCTTCGGTGACAAAATGATTTCGACTTGACAATTACTTGAATTTGGCAACACTCCTCAACTTAGCGTGAAATTCGTTGGATTTGATTTACAATTATTTTTATTGGACCAGGAAATGTTGTAGTCGAAATGAATCTTCCAGAGAAAACCGAATGCCGCTCATACTTCAAGTATAATATTTGATCTTATGGTCCGAAAATGGTAGCATCGCTGTCAACGAGATATATTCTGAATGTGTATCTAGGCTACAAGGGTTTCCATTACGGCTTTGAGACGCTAGAAGCCTTACCGAAATCACCAACAGGTAAACAATCAACACGTTGACTC